GCACGTGCGCGCGAAACTATTTGGTCGCATGAATGCGTGCCCGCTGTACACTGCAGTACAAGCCAATTTTTAATCCCACGAGTCGTTACACGGTAATTAGATGGCCACGAATCCAAGGTTATAACCGTACATTGGCTGGCCAAGCCTATACGATAAACAAACTCTTTTGCACACTGAATGCAAAGGGTGTACCCTCCTCATCACAGTCCTATAAATCTACTAATCAATTCAAGGAACCACTCATGCTTGTCTGCAACTGTCATTTGGAGGGAGCAGAGGGTTTGCAAACATAGCAATCTCAATTGCCTTTGCAATATCTTCCTTTTTCAAGCAGATCTTTTTTAAACATCCAGCGCGTGCCTCATGCAGCTCCTTGTTGTGGGAAGTAGGCTTCCTGTCCCATTCCCAGTCCTCCACCCAGTTCCAGTCTTGATTCAATACAAATTGTATGTGTGGGGAGGGATTGTCAAGTATTGCAGGAGAGGGGGGGGGCTCAGGAGCTTTGGGGGGAGGTGAAGACCTCTGTCACTGTTCCTCCTGATCAACCTGAGATAGAACAAATGAATCAAGGGGGTCTCTCACCAAATTTTGAGCTGAAAGATTGATTGCCTAATTTAGTGAGCAAATGTTCTGTTGAGGTGCAGAGTGTCTGTTGTGGGACTAAAATCCATTGAGTCTAACTAGTCATTACATGATAAAAAGATAGCCCAAGATTGACCCGCTGTGTTATTTTAACAATAACTGTTTTAATCTTGGTCACCAACCAGCCTTTAACAAAGATAAGCACGCCAATGTGTTCCTTATAAAGACAGGATTCTAGTAGTTGTATGTGGGGTTATAGAAGGAAGTTATTGATTATTCCAAGATATACAGGGCTGCTGGATATCTAAAACAAAAATGTAAAACTGGATTGGTGGGAATTTTTGCCCACGATGGGATAGAGAAACAACCCCATGTGGTATTACAAATGGTACCACTACTATTGGCGTTCTTCTACTAGTAGCACTAAAAAGAGTGCCTACCTGCCACACCATCATCCCATCAGAATGGATGGTATACAACTACTAAAGATTGGAAGTAGATAATCCCAGTAGAGATACTATTATGAACACTAGATCAGGGTTCTTGTACTAATATGCTGCTCACACAAGTAGCAGGTAGTAGTAACAATTGATGCAATATTATGTTCTTCTCAAGTACTTATTCTTGTACCTTACTTCTTGCACCTCCTGGTGGTGGATTGCCAGACAAAGATCAATATTAGGGCAATTCAATTGCTTGTTCTTTTTAGATAACCAGCAATAGTAGTAATGAAATAAATTCTGCCTGCCTTTCACACAGAAAACTACTACTACCAGTGGTTGTGTATGTGGTTGTGTATCAAAAAGGGGATGTGAGGTTTGCTAAGTGGTATGTGTTCAAGAATGGCAATCAAGTAGTTGTCACATTCAAAGGTTCCCCTTGTAGAGCTTATGCAAGAATATAAAAACTGCTTGTGTGCTTAAAAATTTGAATATTGGATCTCAAAGAAACTATCAGAAAAAGGAAATATTAGTGCAAAGAGTGGCAAAGACAAAGAGGAGATTTGCAGACCTTTTGAGTAACAATCAACATTTGATGTAGTAGCAACAAGCTTGTGCTGTCTTGTTCAGTGAGACAAGATCAAGAAGAGACAAAATACTAGGAGTACACTGAAGCCTTCTTTCCTGTCACAAGAAGTAAACAAGACAGAAGAAATCTCATTGGTTATGTTTTATATTGACAACAACAACAACAACAACAACAACAACAACA